GGGCACTAAAGGGGGTGGGGTGGGGGGTGGGGGGGTGTAGACAGAGAGTCAGTTGAACCACCACCTTTTATGAAACAGTGAAAGGAAAGGTTATCTCTGATCCCTTTGTTTGAGTAGCACTATAACAGCTAAATAAACCTACACATGTATAGAATAATATTAGTAATTAATGTTATTATCGCAGATCTTTTTGAGCTCATATTTAAACAACTTCCCCTGGTTTCCATATCACAAACCAGACCCGGAAGGAATATATCATTTAAACGCAAAACCTACCATTAAATCACTTCAAGCGGGTTGTTTTGATATGAAAGCACGGTCTTTGCCAATAGAGGAGCAAATATCCAGAGAGCATGCCGTTCCCCTGAAGGAGATCTCCTTTCATTATAGATGCAGGTTTAATTGCACATGCATAATCCCTCAAACAGGCACAAACATGCATCAATGCAAAGATTACAAGATCACTAAGACACAAACCCATGTACACACCGATACACAAATTCACATTCACACACACTGGGTATTTCCAAGGGAAATAAGAGAGTGAGGTTAATTTAGGACATCGTGCTACTTGTTGTCAGTGTTCCCTGAACTAATGTAAACAGTCAGTCAGAAAACAACTCTAAAATATGTGAAGAGAGCGATACTTTCTGTTTTATCCTCACAAATCATAACAACAATTAGTCTCACAGCTCATTCTGTGGAAGGCAGAGAGAGAAAAACGTTTCTCCTCCCTTCCTCCCTGCGTTAGATTCCTGAGAATTAGTCAGTGTTGCGCAGTTTTAGAAGCTTCAGGAAGCTTTCACTAACGGCTCCGTGCCTTCCTGCCTCGATGCAAGGTTTTGGTTGGGGCGTGTAACCTCTCTTTGGCAGCAGCAGATTCATTTCCCCTGACTCTTGACTATAAGCTAGCCACAAAAAAGAGCTGTGGGTGCCTATGTGTGTGTGTCACACACACAAAAAAAGGCCATATTCACAACTCTGGTCTTTAATTGAGACACTGATGTGGGAGTGGTGTTCACAAGGGCTCCGTTCAGTTATCCATAAATGAACTGGTTCTGTGCAATAATGAACATTTGAGAAGGATCTTTTTTAATGACTAAGACATATATTATAGATCATTGTTAGATGTTTAAAATGATTAGAGTCATAGTCTTTGTAACAGGATCATTTGGAGTCCCTCAACATGTGGTACATAATCTGTATTTGAACGGAGAACATGGGTATCATCACACTGGTGAGGGCAGCATTGTATGTATTCATTATTTTGTGTAGGTGAGTTATACAGAATTCTAAAACTTGGAACCTATCTATTGAAACAAATAGATAAAACCATGTGACAAAGCATTTTAGCAATCAAGAAACAGGAAACCATCTGAAGTGAAATGTTAATTCTTAGTTACTTCTTCATGAAAAGGCATGTTAAAGCTTTGATGATAAATGACAGTTTAGTTTTATTAATCCTTGGCATCACCTTCCTTATAACCACTTTATGAGGTGATATAAAAACATCTTAAAGAAAGGGTTATAAATACAAATGACACATTATAAGCCTAGATGATATCGCACAATGTAATCTGAATTTTGAGTGTCGGCTTATAAAATTGTCCGCACAGTGGTTTGTATTCATATTTCTCACTGACATTTTTATACACATATTTGAACCATTTCTGAATACTTCCTAATATATGAGAGGAAATCCTTGACAGCAGCAGGAAAGGTGTTATTGTGCAGCTTGGCCCTCATTTTGCTCATGTCAAATGTCCCGAGAATGAGACTCATATGTGTACAAAGGCAGTTCTTTCAGGCCTGACACTGACATAAAGAGCAGCGCCACTGGGCTGTTTCATTGTGTACATTCTGCTGCCAGGCAACTCTCCTAACTTTATTGTAAACATTGTATGGTGCTGTTCAACCTCAGCATAATGCTATTGTCCACATTTTCACTGTGACAGTTAATGCATTCACCTTGACAATGATTTAAAGTTTACCATGGCGGATGCAGCCTGTCATTAACTATCAACAAATATCACCAAATCATCACTTATTTGCTAAGAGCTTATTATCTCTGAATAATCTATATCAATAGCAGAATTAAAACAGCACAGTCCATCCTCCAGAATGTTTATTTTGATGACACAAACCAGGAAAGTCCACTGTGGAATGAAATTTGTGGAGATCACAGAAGGAGCCTATAGGACACAACAACATTTTATCAGTTTATATGTAACTATAATAATAATGATAAACTTCATTTATGCAGCACTTCTTAAAACAAAGTGACAAAGTGCCTTACATAGCTGGAACCAAGATTAAAACATTTAAGGAGGCACTAGGGAAACATAAAATACAATTAAACAACAGTTAATTATTAAAATCATATAGAAGTAAGGTAAAATAAAAGAGAATAAAAGACCCCCATCAGTAAAAATAAATACTAAGTTAGATAACTTACATATTGTAAAATTAACCACACTGGGGCAAAAAATATAGTTGAAAATATACAAATTAAATAATAAAATACCCATAACTAATATATGATAAGAACAATAATATTAAGAAAATTTGAGACATTAAGCAGCGTGCTAGAATAAATTAAAGTAAATGGATGTTATTCAAAATTAAGGTCACTGTCAAATATTACGCCCAGGGTTCTGGCTGCAGGTTTGATATTTGACTTTTGTATTAAAGGGTTTTAGGGGGATTTCTGATGCTTTAAAGCTGCAGTAGGAAACATTTATAAAAATAACTATTTGTCTTATCTACTGAAACTTTAACTATATCCTGACAGAAGCACATGAAACAGATAATCTGTGAAAAATCAGGTTGCTCTGGTGCTCCTAATGGCATTTGCAATAATCACTTGGCCTGAACGAAAACAACCAATCAGAACCAAGAAAGATAGAGAGACACTTTGGGTGCTGACTTGAAGATAGTTGATTGATGAGTCTCATTTCTAGGTCATCAAATACCGACACTAGGTATGACACTCAATAATAAGCTGTCTTTCTCAGCTCTGATTGGTTGTTTTCGTTCAGGTCTGGTGGATTCTTGCAAATGCCATTACAAGCACTAGGAGGAGACAGAGAAACTTATTTTTTTTTCACTGATTATATGTCTAGTGTACTACTGTCAGGAAATAGTGAAAATTTCAGCAAATGTGACAAAAAGTTGTTTTTATAAAGGTTTCCTACTGCAGCTTTAAAGCATCAGAAATCCCCCTAAAACCCAGACTGGTTTCATAGGTTGTACTTTCACTTTTTGATACACAAAT